TGGAGACAGATGAACGGCAATTCGGAGCCTAGAAGTGAGAAAATGGCCGACAAGTCTGAGTGAGTGGGAAAATATTAGTTAAGAAGGCGCAAGCTGTTTATGTGCTGTAGAGTCACAGGAAAGGATGGCTGAATTATAAAAAGACTCACTGTAATATATTTTCTTCTTCGTTTTTAAAGCTGTGTAATACGTTCACTTATAGATAACTTAGTTTACTCTCTAAGTTTAGGTACGTTTTACTTTCTTGATAATCACAAAAAAAAAAAAAATTAATTAAATATTCCATTTAGCTTTTAAAAGACGAAATATCCTACTTACTCCACAGTGAAGAACTCAAGCAAAGCAATAGTAGCTTCATCATTGCGTTCGCTCATCAGTTGATCCAAGTATGCATTAAAGACCATCAAAATATGCTTGTCGCAGTCATGGACCAAATAGCAGCACTTGTACACATAGAGACATGCACAAACGGCACCTGATGAATCTGTTTATGATACTGAGCTATGGATGCTGCTTCGCTTAGAGTAAAATATCATCCAGAAAACTGATACGGGTGTAGTCGTATTTGACAGTTGCAGTGGCGTTGCCAACATTAGACCAACGAGGCTGTGCTTGCAACAAGTGGACTTTATTTTTAATCATCTTTGTATCGAAGTATGAAGTGAAATGTTAATAAGAACCAAAATAGTCAAACTGCCAATCTTAACAGCGGTTTCTCGATTGTCGCTGTGTATAGGTACAGCTAACACAACACACCAATATTTCCAGAAATAATGGCCGCCAGAACCAGTATTATTTCACGTAATAATTTCGTACGTCAACTTCTAATATTAGAGTTGGTTGGTTCGCCCCTGAAAAAAAAGCAACAAATATGACAGGTATTTATCACCGTATGATTAATTGATTCACTACCAGTGTGACGCCCGAAATTTTAGTAAGGTTACTCAGATGTTTCGGTAAATTATTCAAACATATCTCTCAAATCTTGTAACATGCGTTCAATTTTTTTTCTCGACGTTCGGTGAATTATTCAAACATATCTGAATTCTGTTGTAACATGCGTTTGATTTTTTTTGTCCCCATAACTTATTTCCATTGGAAGTTATCTTGTTGAAAAACCACAGCAGCTTGTGTAGGTTGGAAGATTACCACTAATATACTTTGTTATGGTATAGTCAACATTGGAAGTTGTAACAACATTGATTTCCCGAGATTACCTCCCCCAATCTTTCAGGAGATTAACTCCCTTTGTAACAATTTTACAAAATTAATTCCCCTTGTGGTGGTAGTTTTAATGGTTGCGCTGGGTTAGTTATCTTATGATGGTTTAATAAGACTGCCTATGTAGTAGGTTAACAAGATTATCTGCCATTCTAACCATATTTCAATATTTATTCCCCCGTGTGGTTGTTTCATTAGATTAACTCCCCTAGAAATACGCAACATCACTAAAAACGGCGTCCGTCCCCCATCTACAAAATATCCACCACGGTCTCGGGTTTAGCTAATCCACTGTCTAGTCTGCCGCTAATGTCTAAAGGTCACCAACATCATCTTGTTGGTGTTGTCTGCCTGTTTTGTCGTGCGGACATTTAAACAGCGCCCTCCACGTGAGTACCGTCCGCGCACAAAACTCACCGGTCTATTTTTGGCGATGAGATATTTTTTTTTCCTCTCTAGTAATTTATCCTTCACATCTTTGCACTAGCTCCAAATTGAAACGGAAATTTTAGAATTATGACGTCAGATCGGCGACCTTTTAGAAATTCTGCTTTTGTTAAAAAAAAAACTTTATTTTGTCAAATATTTTCTCTACAGACTACAATTTTCCGTGTGTTTATATATATATATATATATATATATATATATATATATATATCGTCACCGCCCATCATCAGTGTTTCTTCAAGACTGTTATTCTCCGGGGGGGGGGGGCACCTGACATTTTCAGGAAGGGGGAGGGCGGACTAAATTTTCCGAGGGGGGGGGGGGGGGAGGACACTGTTAAAAGTATATATTTTCTATATAAATTCCATTTCGTACGGGGGGGGGGGTAGACTCTTAGGGGTGAGATGCTTGGAAGAAACTCTGCCCATCTTCCCCCCCCAGAGCGTTCTGCCTTGTGCCCATCTTCTCCCCTGACTCCGTGTGCAACCCATCTGTTTGGTGTCCCCCCTGAGTGTCTGCCTTTTGATACCGGTTTGTAGTTCGTGCAGGGTGTCCTCTAACCAACCTCATTTTTTTCTGATTGCTACATCAGCACACATGTTTTATGTTCTGTCCTATCGGCTCGCATTACTGGTGGTTTCGGTTGAACGGATCAGGATTTGTCCGTTCTGAGTCACAGTAATGAGTTTTATTTTTATGGCCGGATTGTTAGCCCAGTTTTAATTATTCTTGGGGTCCCCTTTCAGAACACATTAACAAAGCACCATTAAAAAAATAATATTTAAACAGTGATTTAAAATAAAAACAATAATTTTAGGAGAGGGGATAATTTTTTATAATTATAACTATATTGTAAACCTTTTGAATTGAAATAATTAGCTTCTTTCTCTTTGAGTTGCTAAACCGAAAAGTCTCGAGTTCGAACCCTCGGGCAGATGAGGCTCATTAGCTGGGGACAGCCACTCTTCTAGGAGAGACAACTCCTAAATCAAACAACTACTGCCTTGTAGTTTGTTCTTGGTTGGACAAAGGCTATGGAAAACAAATCCAAAAAGAACAGCTGGCTGAAATCGGAGAAATGGGGCATCAATGGCCTCACTGGCGCATAACCAGTTGACATGTATCCTTAATTGTGTTGGAGAGGATCCCTTCCAAGACTAAAATTAAGAACGACGAAGAAGAAAGAAGAAGAAGACACTTTGGGTATTTTAGAAAAGAAAAACGTACTTTAGAATTGTATGTAAACAAACATGTTTTGTTAGCTGTATAAAACATAAAAACTGGGAAACCGATATACATTCACATAATATAACAGAGTCACAAATATAACATTGACCACCCGCCCGTGTTCCACACATTTAAATACAATCAATTATTTCAACTACCAATTCAGTGTCGAAACAGGTTAAAACATACACACAAATCCACAGTAAACAAAACAAAGGAAGTTATTTACCAGAAAGATTAGGACAAAATCAATGACATTATAAGGTGAAAGATCAAGCCCCCCCCCCACATCTACATATATATATATATATATATATATATATATATATATATATATATATATATATATATATATATATAACACCCACCTCCCTTTTAATTTAAAAACATTCTAAATGCCATTTTGCTTGAGTTAATTGCCCCGAGACACGTCGCAACAAGTCAAACTGGTACCGCGCGACCCAGGGCTAGTGATTAGGGTCATTACAGTGTCTGACCGGCTCACTTCTGCCGCGCGTGTGACGTCACTGCGGCGGGAATTCTTCCCCCACCTTCCTCGCAACACGTTCACTACTTGTATGAGCAGGCGAGCGCCGTTTTACCAAAATAATATTCAGGAAATCAATTAGATGCGTAAGAATAGATTTATGCGGGAGGGAACAAAATGATGGGAGGAGGGAATTTCAGCGTTACAGAATTTAAGTGTAGCTAATCGAAGACAGGGATGTGTATTTAAATAAAAATACATTAAAAGTGGGTTTTAATATTAAATTTAATGCTGGTTAATAAAATTGTGTTTCTTTGAAATTTTCTAAAAAAAAAAAAGTTGAGCTGAATTTGTAACTTTATTAAAAAATGGCTCGTTTCTTTTTTTTTAAGATTCCCTTTTTTTAAAAAAATATATTTTTTTAGCCGTTGCTGAAGTTTGAGATACTAAAGATTTTGGACTTGCTTCCATAGCCTTCGCCTTCCTAAGAACAAATTCCAAGTCAGCTGTTGTTTAATTTTGGTAATGTATTGCTGTCTCCAGTTATCAGGTCTCAACTACGTGGGAATTGAACTCGTGACTTGTTGGTTTTGCAACCATGAGCTTTACCGACCCGACCACACAGATCCCTAAATGATTTCTTATTTGTGAGTGGTGAATGTCAAAGAATTATTTAAAAAAAAACAGGATGTTTTCTAAAACATTGCGTGTGTGATTCATTATTATATTGGCTAATTACTACGTCGTGGAAGGATATAAAAATCGATAAATGTGATCACGTGACACTTGGAACATACACATGCAGTCAAAGAGCGGCACTACAGTGGAAGACGGGTTGACGTTTACAATCAAGTAGGCCTATGGATGCTGCAATTTAAATATATGAGATTTTTTTTTTTGACTTCGTTAACATTATAGACACGCTAGAGGCATACTACAGAAGAATACATACAGAGTCTATTATTTGTTCACAAAAAACATAATGGTGTAAATAATGTTTTATGTGATGGTTTATGTAAATGCTTTATGTGATGGTTTATGTGATGTGTTATGTGATGATTTATGTGATGTTTTATGTGATGGTTTATGTGATATGTTATTTTAGGGGTTTATGTGATCGTTTATATGATGGTTTATGTACATAATTTTCGCCATATTCGTTACACTGATAATTTAAAGTTATTAATAATAAGCGCAACACATTGTTTACATTAATCTTTTACATTTTTGAATTTGTAAAATACCAAGCGGATAGCAAGTAATATTATTTTATTTAAGTTTATTAAGACTTACTTTAATTATGAAAACCATTTTTTTTTCTGTAAAATAAATTGTATTTTGTTTAATTAATCCATTATCAAGATTTTAAAAACACCATCGTTTAAGTAAAAAAAAACTTAAAAGAAACACAACACCTTATAGATTTTAAGTACTATGATGTTACATGTCAAAGACCTGCAGACAATTTTTATTCCTACTATAACAAGTTCTGGTGTTGCACTGTTAGCAAATAAACACAGTTAAAAATACAACCTCACAAATTACAATTACACAAATTCTTTTACAAGCATTTGAGAACGACAAAACATTTGATTAACAAACTAAAGAAAACACATGCTCTTTTGATACGGATTTTATTTATTTCAATACTTTGTGTGTACATTAGATATTAATTGCACTAGACAACTGTAACTAGATACATCAGCTTCACACCATAGCCTCGTCTAGTAGTAGTAGTTGCCTTTGCCTGTGGTATAGTAAAATAAAATGATTATAATAAATACTAAAAACTATTTTTTATTCACCAATTTACGAAGGTAAAGTTAAAGATATACTAAAATTGTACTGCTATTCCTGTGTTTGTGTTTATAAACGTTGATAAATATTAGAAATAAACGAGAAATACAATGAATTAAATTATATTGATAATACAATTTAGAATATTAGGAAGTTTTGAGAAGTTAAGAAATTTTATGAGGATATATTTTTTTCTTAAATTTTACTTTATTTGTATAGGCCAAGTTACAATAATAGAGAATAAAATGTGCTGTTCTATATACTATTTTTAAAATTAAAGTTTATAATTATTTAAATATTTTATAGATAATGGCCTTACATCTGATAAGATGATGTTAGCACCTTTAATTAATATATCAAACGATGTTTACGTGTAACCTACTGATATAACTGAATATACTTACCGCCGCAGTTAAAATTTAGCTACTGATGAAACTGAATGTACTTACCGCCATAGTAGCCTCCAATGGGAATGAGAAGTTTTCCGTAGCCGTAACCTCCATATCCACCGTGACCTCCCCATCCACCGAGACCGCCCCAGCCTCCAAGGCCACCAAAGCCTCCTCCCACACCCCAGCCTCCTCCAAGACCGCCGAATCCACCGAGACCTCCGAATCCACCGTAGCCTCCACCGAATCCACCGAATCCACCATATCCGTAGGCGTTGGCCATGGCGACCAAGAGAAGAACGGCGAGCACAGATTTGTACATTGTCTGGAAAAGATGGAAAAATTACTAAGCTAAATATTTGCAGACATGATATAGTTTGTATAATCTAGAGAAGATGGAATTCGTTAATTAAAGAAAAACTTATTATCTTGTATGTGACCAACAAAGCTAATAAGCGACTACTTAATTACACGATAAACACAACACACTCACCAAGATGTTTAGACTACGGAAAGATGACCGTCTCAAAAAACAAGGCAAGTAGATCTGCTTGGAAGAGACTGAATCGTGCTTTAACAAGACACCAACATCTGCTTATATACACAGTCTACAGCAGGAAGATTGGCAGCTTTGGATTAAATCTACCATCTACAGGGCTTAACGCCTGTTGATCCCCAGCGGATCTCAAATGTTAAGCCACATTATCCCGTTACTGCTTTTTATTTTTCGCCCCAATGAAAATGAAAACGGCGGAGGTCAAGGAAGACATACAGAAGGAAAACAACTGACAAGTGTAGGAGTATCTTAGGGGACTGCCTAGAAAATTGCCAAAGACAGACAAAAGTAGAAAGGGCTTACTGTCAGAGTTTCTTCCAGACATCTCTTCGGTAGTGCTCCCCCACCCCGAAGAAAGTCTACCGCCGCCTCCCCCGAATGAATTGGAATTTATAAAGAAAATATATACTTTCAACAGAGTCCCCTCCCCAGGGAATTTTAGTCCAGAAAATCACAAGTGCCCCCCCTCCCCCCATTCGGAGAAAAAAGTCTGGAAGAAACACTGCTTATTCTGGCGGTATTGTGTTTCTTAGGGTCTAAAATGGAAAAGATGATGAATTATCCATTAATCTTGCAGTCGCCTGTCTGTTGTTTCTGACTTCAGTCAACTTAGCTGCGAGAATGACGACCGGGAAAAGATGTTGATAAAACAAGTTAGTCATATTTATATATAGTTAATACTCCTTCTTGTATTTGTTTCTGTAATTAATAGGATGGGAGAAATAACAGTTACATGTAAGCTCTAAAGATAATATGTCAGAGGTGTTAAGTAAAGGTTTACTGTGATAAAACTTTGAAATCATATTGTTTCTTAAATAAAATGCAAGGTACTAAAATTTTCTCTCTCTCTCTCTTTCTCTCTCTCTCTCTCTCTCTCTCTCTCTCTCTCTCTCTCTCTATATATATATATATATATATATATATGTATATATATATATATATATATATATATATATATATATATATATATATATATATATATATATATATATATATATATATATATATATATATATATATATATATATACACGCATATCGTTAAAATTTGATTTTTATGTGGAAAGTATTTTTGAGAACCACTGTCCTAGTTAACAACTTTAATTAATTGACTAAAGCCAATCAAATATTTTACTCTGTAATTATCCTGTCAATGTTGAAGTGTTGATTGACATGTTGGATAGAGAAGAGAAAATGTACTTTTAATTTTTAAATGAGGCTGGTTTCAGTATGCGACCGAAATGTTTTCTCAGAAAGTTTGAGGTGTACCGTGTTGATACCTCTGTCAAACTAGAATCTTAGTTGTCATATAGCCTCACTACACTACACTACACTACACTACACTACACTACACTACACTACACTACACTACACTACACTACACTACACTACACTACACTACACTACACTACACTACACTACACTACACTACACTACACTACACTACACTACACTACACTACACTACACTACACTTCACCCCGCTTCTAGCCCTGAGCCTGAAATTTCCCTGCCTTTGTTTATAGACAGTTTGGTATTTCGTCCGTTTGGTATGCCAGTATAGTGCTGTTTCGCTGGCCTGCTAACCCGAGATTCTTGAGTTTGGGTCCGGGTCTCGAGTCTGTAGGACGTCCCAGAGTCCACCCAGCTCTGATGGGTACCTGACTCACGTTAGGGAAACAAAGGCAGCTGGGCATAGTGTTGACCACATTATCCCCCTGAATGCCAAGTTCATTGAAACAGATGAACTCTACTTCACCTGCTTTATTTGTCTTGTGCACGAACACAAAAAATTATAGTGCTATTTGGTATGGTGGCGTTTGGGAACGAATGTATGTTTATATGTCGGTAATATATGCCAAATATATTGCTGTATGGTGGGATACATATTGTATCGATATTATTGGTGTGTATTTTCATATTTGAAATTTGTAAAATTGTTTTGGTTAGAGCAGGTGGTGGTTCAAAAGCGTGCATTACTAATGATCCTAAGGAGTTTGGTACTCAGCCCATGAGTCCACCCAGCTCTAATAGTATCTGACCATAGGACGTCACTGAGTTCATCCAACTCTAATAGTATCTGACCATAGGACGTCACTAAGTCCACTTTGGTTGATGGTTTATTATGTAACATATTTTTATATTCGAAATTTGAATGATATTAACCATTTAATTTCTATGTATATTTTGTATAAGTAATTACTGCCTTCGTTTCCACGATCACTCGACTACATTTCAATCTGTCTGAAAGCTAAACTATTCAAGTCCCCTCCAGGCCCACTATTGACGTATGGCGCGTGACAGTTCTAATCACGTGACATGTTCATTCGCGTGTGGCCACACATCCTGGTACAGTTCAGGTATGGTGACGTCATTCAACAGTCATGTTCTTAAAATGTTGCATGTACGTAGGTGGACGATCCCCCCCCCCCCCTCCCCCAGCAATGTACTTAAGTTAGTTGTTTTTTTTGCCCTGGGGCCCCATAACGGCATAGTATGTGATAAGACAGATAGGGTCATCCAGTGCTTGGTACGTGAGAATTTTATCCTCAACATTCCTTGACGTCACAGTGTCCAGTTGTCCATTGCCCAAAAATATAATTAGAACAAGTTTGATGAAATAGTGTTTACATTGAAATTTGAAATTAATTCGAAACCGCAAGAAACAGCGGTAAACATTGCTTTATGAGTAAAGTTTATTGGATGTGGTGTCACCCCCTCTTCACCTGGTGACACCAATACTCATTGAAACTATATAAAGACGTTAGATGCGTCAGGAATTGGAAAAACATTTATAAACTATTGTATATTACATATGTTTACCTAGGTCAGAGGCGTAGCGAGGGCGGGGGGGGGGGGGAGGGTGCGGACCGCACCGGATGACACAATTTAAGGGTGACACCAAGGCAAAAAATTGCAAAATTTACTGAAGAAAAATTCTTTTTCGCCAGTCCCATTAATGATTAATTAAAGTTAAACAGTATTTCACGTACAAATCGCAAATTACTACAAGGCGGTGGTGATGACACCATGACGTAAACTTGCAAACTATAGAGAAAACTATGCAACATTCAGCTGTATTATTAACAGATTAAAGATATAAACAACGTCACTCTTATATATATATATATATATATATATATATATATATATATATATATATATATATATATATATATATATATATATATATGTATATATATATGTATATATATATATATATATATATATATATATATATATATATATATATATATATATATATATATATATATATATATATATATATATATATATATATATATATACTTTGTTTCTTTGGGCGGGGGGTGACACCACGAATTGCCGCGCCGAGTGACACCCGACATAGCAACGCCACTGATCTAGGTCACACAGTTTGTGTGAGTGATTTTGTAACGGCAGGTAACTTATGTTCAGTTCGCAACTACTGGTCGAGTTTACAGCTAAGTGTTTAATCTTTTTAACTAAGTACCAACTCAAAAATGTTTGAGAGATTTAATGAGCGGTCAACGCTTTTAATAAATGAGGAAACGTAGTTTTATTTTATTTTTGTAGTTCAATTAAAATTGTTTTATAGAGGATTGTGTGGTTGTTTTATTTTATGTGATCATTTATGTAAGCGCTATGCCCAGCTGCCTTTATTTCCCTAAGATGAATTAGGCACCCATCAGCGCTGGGTGGACTCATGGACGTTCTACTGACTTGAACCCAGATTCGGACTCCACTTTCGGGCTAGCAGCCTAACGCCCAATCGTTTAGGCCACGCCGTCCCATTAGCTATCGACCAGTTTAGCTAAAAAAAAAAAACTTCCGAAGAGCCTGGTACGTCGGACTCCCAAGGCCCCTACATGATAGCGAGCCAGGAGATTTGTCCGCACTAGACGGGCGAATCTCCGTCGCTTGCTCTAAATAGCGTGGGGGAGGAGAGGTGCAAGACTGCCGGGAACCAAGTGGGGTTTGCTCTCGACCCTAACCAGATATTTTGACTTTAGGCTGCGGCCTTCACGTGGCTTCGGATGTGTGCCACTAGTCGGACCAAGCTCATGACCCCCCTAGTGGGTGCGGGATGGCTAGTGGTAGCCAACAGCAGCTAGAGGTTTTTGATCTGGCCGAGTAGAACTGCTGTATGCGTTCGGCTCTTCCGAAGAGCCTGGTACGTCGGTCTCCCAAGTCCCCCACATAATAGCGTGGGGGAGGAGAGGTGCAAGACTGCCGGGAACCAAAAGAGTCAGATATTTTGACTTTAAGCGGCGGCCTTAACGGGGCTTCGGAATAATGCCACTGGTCCGACCAAACTCATGTCCCCCTAGTGGGTGCGGAATGGCCGGTAGCAGATAACAGCAGCTAGAAGGTTTTGATCTGGCGGAATGCCCCCCACGATCAAGCTGGGTACCAGGCGGTGGGACGACGTCCCGCGTCTGGTGGGTGGGGAAGGAAAGCCCGGTGAGAGCCCACGGAAGTAGCGACCGATGTGTGGGGAACTCTTGTGGTCGGAGTTTGCTACACTGAGGCCTGCCTGGCTAATGGAAGTCAACCTTCTGAGCCGGTTTCCGTATAAGAAGAAGAAGAAGCTAAAAAAAAACAAATTTCTAAAAAAAATATTTCGGGACCACACTGGTTATAAAGCTTATTTCGGTACTATACTTATTATATAAGTAAAGGACCTGAGTAGCTGGACATACTTAACCTGATCAGTGTTAGTTCACGACTTGGTCAGTTCATAGTGCTACAAACATACGAACTGATAGAACCATACGCCCGTGGACACACATGTTAGATAGATAAAACCAAAGCACTATGAAAAGGAATTAGAATTACAAATAACCACAATGAAGTCATTTCCTTCAATCACCAACGGGAAATATTTTAACGATTCTACGAAAATTTGTTTTTTAAATATTTAGTTTCGACTGTATGTCTTTATTTTGAAGAATTTCTAATATAAAATTTCGAGCTTTTTGTAGAAGATTATAAGCCATTGAAACTATAAAAAATCCAATATTGTATTATGGTGTTCTTAATTTGTGTGGTGAATGAAGATATGTACTAG